CCACCACCACAACCACCACCACCACTACCACTACCACTACCACTACCACTACCACTACCACCACCACCACTACTAATATAAATGATGCGCATAATAAGACTAAGACTAGCAATTATACTACTTTGAAACCATTATTTTCGCCAGTATTCTTGAGGGGCCCCCCAGAATGGAGATAGATCAATCNNCGGGGGGGGGGGGGTCTTATTATTGCATATTCATGTGAGGCTAACATTAGAGCAGACTCTTCAGGCACAAAGCCTCTGCAGAGTCCGGGGACTGGCATGACTGGCCTTTTGAGGAGGCGAGTCCTTGAAAAGAATCAGCAACGCATAGCGACGCATCTGAGTTCAGCGCGACTACAACGAGGGCCAAACGTGCCCGGAGCTGCAGCAAGGCTGGCGGAAGGCCTGGGAAGCATTGTGGAATCGTGAACGGCTCCTCTCGGGAAGCCCCTAAGGCTCTGCAAGACGTTCACTGCCACTGCCTTCTCGACGAAAACCGTGGCTCGACTTTGATCTACAGAACAGCTGATGTCAGTAGTTGCACAAGACAAGTCCTTGACCGGGACCTGTTCCAGGAACCCCACAACTCGGCAAAGCGGTTCACAACCCAGGCCGCCTGTTAGGGTTGCAATCAGACAACCAAAGACTAGTTGAGGGCAATGTTTCCTCATCCTCTAAAACCCTCTCCTCAGATGCCATAGCCAAACGACGATGTTCTGGAGCAAACATGAATTCACAGGCCTCAGCCGCAGAAAGCGCTAGTCTTATCACGCCTGTACCTGTAACAGCACCATGACTTGTAGACCCTGGCAAGTTGATCACTTCCCGACAAAGCGGCCAGGAGAGCCTGGCGCATGCCAATCAAGGCTCGGCGTGATCCACATAAACAAAAAAACTCTATGGATTGCTTGAAATCACTTCATCCAGGCAGAGACTCGGCATCTCACATCTACACAACCCTGCTCAGATCAAATTCCCTTTGTAAATAAGCACTTCTTCCGGTTCCTGCGGGAGGCTCACAAGGTTTGCGTCCCCAGCTCCAAGCTTTGCTCTTTCCTGATGGCCAGGTGCCAATCATAAGGTATACACCAAAACAGCCAAAAGTTGCACCTGAGCAGAGCTGCTTTTCTTCAAAAAATGTCTTTGATGTGAACAGGTAGCTGGGAGCGTGATAACTCAGAACATGGCCATGCAGAGAAGTGCCAACGGGCGCCACAGGCAGGTAAGCCACAATTCCCTCGATTGGCAAGCATAGCGACACTGTGCATCACAGCACCCATAGCATTCATGCTAGCCTAGCAAGCCTGCATTTCAAGCAAGGAGCGAGGCTGCGGGAGCTCTGCCTGACAATAGTCTGCATGGTTCCCACAAGGCACAAAGGTCAGCGAAGCATCGAGATGCTTTCAACAAGATTTCCCCCGTTTGCAGATGCCTTCTGCAGAAGAAAGCTCCAACGTGACAAACCGCACCACACCTTTGTCTGGCCATTCAGAATACAGAGCTGTCCGTGCGATGGCTTCTAGTTGCCAGGTGCCAGAAAATAGAACAACACAGACATGTCCAAGCTGTGTCCAAGTATTTCAGAGTTCGTTGAGAAACCAGCGAGGCAGCATCAGAAGTGGTTGCTGCATTGCCTTGCGGAGCACAGGGTGAAGCTATTTACGGTTTGGCCGCATGGATTAAGGTCATGGCCGTGCTGTCTTCCTGAACCTGCCACATGTCGTAAGCTAAAAAGCCTTTTGCAGCAGCAGCCAGCACCTGCAACTGCAAGAACACTGCCAGACAGCAAAATCATGGTGCGCTGCGAGCTTTGCTGAAGTGCCCTATGTGCACGGCTTGACGCTTGCTGATGCAAGGACACCATGTAATCCAATCCGTAGGGAAGCTTCACACAATGCTCTGCACCAAACTAGGGACTCAAGATGACCCAAGTCTCCGGAGGCTCAAGCACCTCTGAGCTGCTCGGTGTATGTAAAGCATCAAACTTACAACGAGCTGCTCAAGATCCCTGATCCGAACGCCGACACTGTTCATAGTTTCCGCAGCTTGCCTTCCTCTTCGCTCATCTTGCCACTCATCTTGCCGTTCACACTGTTTTCACATCTGGTATATCGTTCGTTCTCAGGCTTGCTGTCAGCAGCTGCCTCAACAACATACTTCTGATATGATTGAAGCGCAAACGACAAGCCTCTGAGGGTCCAGGGCTTGCCGGTGAGCAGATGCCACGCGACAAAGATCTTCAGGACTGAAACGGGAGCATTCAGGGGTGCTGCACCACTCAACAGTTTAAAAAATCTGTGTGCTGTACATCTTCCTGCCATCGAGAAGTGACTGTAATATTGGGCAAGCAACCTTTAGTGACAAGCTCCTGGTTCGAAGATTGACAAGCTGGAGCAGCCTAGATGTGCGGAGGGACCTCCCGGACTTCTGCACACACAGCCTGGACAGTCTATTCCCATGGTCAACTTGACAGCGGCCAGGACCCCAAGTGACATGGCCTTGAACAAGTTCAGAGGTTCTGGAAAATTGGCCAGACGTTCGACAAAAAGGCAGGGACCGTGCTCACACAGCCGCGGACTTTGTTTGCTTGAAGTGGTTGCTCGAACTTCTAGTGCCGGAGCTTGTTGCATGGGTGGCCAGAAACTGAAGGAGAATGAAACTAAGAGCGGCCCTTACCATGTCAACGGGGACCGTGAACGGTTTTACTAGCCAGCTTCCATGATCACTCTCCACCAATTAGCTAGAGGCAGTGCTGCGCACAGCAGCATTCCATCACACGCATTCCAGAAACTGCATCAAGGTCTTCGCGCTGACTTGTCCAGACTTCCTGATCTGGAAATTTATAAAGAAATCCTATCGATTCTGCATTGCTGTACCTGAAAACACGAAATTGTCTGAAAGGCCAGATTTCTGCGCTTCCTGTAGACAGACGACTTCCTATAATTGATTCGTTGCATCTCTTCTAGTCTTCATGTTTTGGTGTCTTATGACTTTAGCAAATGTTGATGAGCTTCTGGCAACAGCTCAAGGGCGCCTCCAGATGACAGCAGGAGATATGGCGGAGAGATGCAAAAAATCTCAGGAGCCGCCCGCTCAAAATTGCAGCCTAGCGTGATCATTCAGAACCACAGGGCGCTCTTGCGCATGCAGCGTCGGAACCTTGCCTGCCTCCAGAGGACGGGATGGCTGCCTCGTTCTGGCTTCTGCAAAGGCATTCTGCAACAACCATGCAGCCACCCAGCAATGCGCCGGAGTCATGCTGCTTGCACCTGCAGACCATCTAGTTTAATGTTACCGTGACAATGATGACCCCCCCCTCCCGAACTTGTGTTGCGTTTTTGGTTTATGGAAGGGCGGGGGATCGTCGTAACAATAAACCAAGGGTTGGTGTAGGACCAGGTAGTGCAGCTCGTAATACTAGTAGGAAATTGGGACGTTTCCGGCCGGACAATATTATTATTGCCACCCCCTTACTATTGCCGATGGACCTTGTTTAGACCTGTTCGGGCTCCAAACTTGTTAGCAAGCAATGTTGAAAGTCCGAGATTCTTCTGGCTCGGCAACAATAAAATGTGGCCGCCCTCTGTATTAATTTTTCTGGTAACGTTAGGTCTGGTGTCGCCCCCTATAAGCTACTCATCACAGACTGAAACGGTTATGTCTGTCTGGCCTCCGAGGCCGCGGAAAATCAAATCCTGAAGGATGATGTGACATGAGCCACCTTGTTTAGGGTTACTGCAAGTTGGCATGCCTGGGACGGCAGCGTGCAGAGAAAAATGCAGGACCCACTGACTCATGAAGAATCATAGACAACACCACTCGTATGGGATTTCGAACAAATTCACCTGCGGCATTTGGGCAATGAGGCCTCTGGTTCTTAAATTTAGGATGCCTGCGCAGGTGGCTAACACAAATGGTGTGTAGTAAGATCAAATATAGTTTTAGACGTTTGATTCTACTCCTCCTGACATCATGTTCTCGCTGCCGCTGCTCCATTAGTTCAAAAAGAGGATTCAGAAGAGCGTTTGCGACAGGCTTGGGCTATCTCAAAACCTAGAAAGTGTGACTGCAGGCTCGTTGACCGGATTTCGTAAGTTTGGGGTCGCATGAACGTCTGATGGGGAACAAGCTTGCTGCTTGAGCATGCTTGGCTTGGTGGTTGCAAGGCTACGTAAAGTATTTTGAGCCAAACACACAGGGCTGTCCATGGTGAATTGCCGTTCCAGAGACTTTGAAGTTGAAGGACTGCAGGTCATGCTTTCGGGGCTCAGAGCAGGAGATGAAGGCTCGGCTCTCCCCACAACAGCCACAACAAAACAATGACGTGGGCCTGCGTAAGCACTTCTTAGCTTTTGCAGAATGAACTCGTTTGAGATGAGGTTGAGCACTTCTGACTGCTGCTGCTTGCTTGATATTATGCCACACTCCCCGCATTCCTTTAGATGCTAGATGCTCCCCAGAACATTCCGCATGTACATGCCTTCAAAAACCGTGGATCAGAAAAGCTAACTTATGTGTGATTCGGGCCTGCCTCGAAAGAGGAGCAAGGTGCACAGGCGGGAGGCAAGAGCTTCGCACAGCCGACAATTTAGGAACTTGCCTCAGTCCAGCATGGCAAACTCAGCAGCATCTGGTACCCTGACATCTGATACTGCTGCGCCTGCCAGAAGCGGAGCTATCCGCTCACAAATGGCATGCGAGGCCTCCTTGTCCAGCCAGAACTACTAGGCCAAGTTTTGAGTGTAGCAAAGCATTGCTATCAACACTTGATTAGACTGTCCTGAGTCAGATTGCCCTGCATGTCCGCTTCTGCTTCGCAAGAAGGTTCATAAAGAAGAACAGAGTCGACCAAAAACGACAACGAAGTCAACACGACGTCCTCTGCGACTTCTGCGCCGTCAAGGTCATTCTGCACGCAAAGAACTTCTGGAATATACCGCTCGAGTACTGAGTGAAAAAAGCCTTGATGCATCTCAGCAGTTTCCGCAGAGAGCGTGGCATGCAAAGCAATGCATCGGATGGCTCGTGCTCGCAAAGCAGGCCAACAGATGCCAGCCATCCCGAGAGGGATTGAGTCAATCAGGAGCAGTGCTGGGCGCAATATGTCATCCATGACAAGACAAAGAGGGAAATCATCCTTAAGTTCAGCCTCGGTGTAGGAAAGAACAGCCTCTGCCACATGAAGGATGCGAGAGAGATTGTGGCCGAGCGCAGCAAATGCGCGTTCTGCATTTGCCTGCGCTTCATCCTGCTGCTGCCGCAGCTGTTCTACGTCTTCCCGCAGGGCATAAGCTGCAACGAAGTCCCGAGCCTGGGTGAGCTTCTGACATTGCATGTCAAGCTTGCGAATACTGCATTCCAGATCAAGCGCGTACGCCTTGTGCGCAGCAACATACCTTGCGAGTTCAGAGAAACTCTCGCTTTGACGTCCTGGCTCTGAAAGGCAAGCGGCTTCAGCTTTTGCTGCAAGGACGCAGAGGACGGTTCGCATGGAATCCGAAAAGGCCGACTCAACTCGCGCCTTGTCGAACTTGGGCTTGCGAAAAGACATGCTGTGTAAGGTGGACAGCTTCAGGGACTGCCGGGCCAGCAGGGCAGCTAAGCGAAAAGGATCTAGGCCGGCTTGCTGCATGTGGCCCCTGTCAAAACTAGCCCCACAAGATTGAATCACGCGTGTCTCATCCAGTGGACAGCGCAAAAGCGTTGCCGTTGCTATTTGTAGCAAAGTCTTTGAGGCCGCCTCGTCGTACACGCCAGTCTGAAGCAGCACTATGAGAAGCTGTCGCAGCATGAAGATGTCCCCAGAGTCCAATACTTCCAAAGTTCTGCGAAGCAAGTGCGAGCCTCTCAAAACTCCACTCAGGTTCCACATATCGGGGTCAAGTGAGATGGCAAGACGTGCTAAGATGATCTGAATTCTTTCCATCGGCTTCTCACCATGCAAGAGGGTCTGAACCGAATGCTCTGCCACGGAGCGTACGTCCTGACCATGGAGCAGCCTTTGCAAGATGGTCTCTGCAACAAACTCTGCCTGCTTCGTTGGTCCGACTAGCAAGGCATTTATCCAGCTCAGAATGGGAGACATCCCCTCGCCAGACTTTCCAGCCCACGAGCGCAGGGTATGCTCACACTCCTGGCGCACGCCAGCATCCGTGTCAGCCAGACCTTGCCGAAGCAGAGCACAAAGCCTCTGAGAATCAGACGGCCTTTGCGTCGTTGTCAAGAAGGTGAACGTACTACGTCGAACTGTGGGCGATGCGTCCATAGATCGATCCAAGAGCATCTCTGTGAGGTTCTGGTCCAGCACTAGGGCGTGATCTGCCTCGCAGACTCGGATCTTCCAAGTACATATGACAAAACGCGATACATACGTTCCAAAATGTTCAAAAGCTTGTGGCGGAAATCCTTTACCAAAAACGGCGGGCCTGAAGCAAAATCAAGTGGGTCAGGGCATCCAAACGTACCTTGCAAATGAGGTCACTGCACGCCATCTCCACCATGGCAGCAACAGCTGCTTTAGTCCCCAGAGATGCCAGGCCAGGGATAGTAAGACATCTCACAGGCGGCACTTTGTCGGATGCGAGTTGAAGAAAAAAAGCCTCCAAACGCTTGCCGTGACTGGCTGGTGCAATCTCCAATAGCATCTGGAGAAGTGATGCGCAGCATTGTCGAATATTTTTTGCTCGTGGAGCGCGCCCATGCTCGAACATGTCTAGCAAGAAGTCCAACAACATCTGGCATCTTGACTGCACCGCTGCATCTGTCAACAGCTTCAACGAAGCTTCAGCTCCAAAGACTTGACTTCCGCTGCCCTCCATGCCCTTTAGAATTGCAAGTGCTGTTGCCACCAGCGTATCCCCAAGCTGGTCAGGGTAGTAATCGGCCATAGCCTTGCCACGAGAATGTCGAAAGCTTCAGAGTCTCAAATGAAACACTCTCCCATGCAAGCTGCGGACACTGAGGCATGAGCTAAAAGACGAGCCAGCGCATCGCGACGTACAGGCTCACTAGGACTCGGGTGCTCCGAAAATGCTCCGAGTATGCGGGCTGCGTGAGGCCAAAGGCTATGAGCTTCGAACTTGCCTCCGAGAGATGGAGCTGAAGAGACATAACAGAACCCACACCCGCTAGCTTCTGTGGATGGGCCTTCAGAGCTCTCCGTCATAAAGAGCCGCGGCAGGGTGAAACTGGAAGCGGGGTCTCTACTAAACATGGACAGCTTCAAGCAGCGTCTTGAGAGTGTGCTGGCTGTCACATGCCTTTGGATCAGAGTTTCTGTCGATCCTGTCGTGTATCTCGCTGGAACGCACCTAGCTGGAGCGGTAGACAAACAGCTGCGTGGTGGCACGGCAATCACCTGTGTGCATAAACTGCCGCAGAAACTCAAATCAGCTTCATGCATGGTGTACACACCCAGCATGTTCAGTCACGGCTTCTGCTGTCTTAGCAAGTGCTCGAATGCGCTTCTCATCGCCAAGGATTTGGCAAGCATGTGTTGCCACGGCATGGACCTGCTGTTGAGGCAAGTTGTACAGGATCAACTCCTCGTAGAGCTGGACAACCCATGCCCACTCCGAAGCATCACCGCAACAGTGCACAGCAGCTTCGTAGCTGTCAGCATCGGGCACCAGGTCCTCGTCACAGATCTCGCCAAGCAAAGCCAGGACATGGCGCCAGTTCTCACTTTGAAGGCTACAAGCTTTGATGAGCTTGTTGTAAGTACTTAGTGTGATCCCTTGCTGCTGGCGCCTTGCTTTTTCATGAGCGCTAATCGCCAAGCTCCAATGTCGGCCCCGAGAGAAAGCAGACATTTGGGTTGGAAGCGCGTCGGGAAGCTCTGGTGGACCCTCGCGCAAAATATTGGCAGACTGGCATGCCTGCTGTAACAGTTCCAGAGACATCGTCCAGCTGGCTGCCACGGATTCGCAAACCGATGCTGCCGTGATGTGTGCACGCGGCAGCCGTGCCAGCCCGTCAGCTCGCATCTGAGAGACACGTTCCAATGCCCACGGCCAGTCATCAAGTCCGGCACATGCTGCCAGAGCTGCACATGTGCCATCATAAGGTCTGATGCCCCACATCTGCATCTGTTTGTATAGCTGGAGGGCAGCTCTTCGGCGTTGTGCTTCATGCGGTCCATCTCCGGAACAGGCCCACATGGCTGCTGTATAGGCTGCCGCACGTGCTTCCAAACGATTTTCATCCATTACGTCCAGCAGATGCAATGCACGGTGCCAGCCAGGGCCTTTACCACACGAAGCAATTGCTTTCACAAAGGTCTTCTCATCTAAACGAGCCCGCAACTTCAGGTCCTGCAGCCACTTTACCTTGTCAGAGGAGGGAGTAAGCTCTGACTTCATGCATTTGCGGCTTGTAACCGATCCACCCGCAACCCTCATACTGCAAGCCTCTTTAGACGGGGATTGAGCCTTCCTTGTGGTCAACGGGGTCTTAAATGGCAGCATGTGAACTGAGACCTGGAACAACAGCAGACGCAAGCAAAACTAATATCGCCATGTTGGCGCTTAGTGAACAAAGGGCAATGATTATGTCCAGCTGGGGCACCAGTATTTCCGTACCTCCAAAACCACCTGGTGGGAGCTGGATCAGCGCTGCGCCCCCACGACGTGCAGCGACTTGTTGCTTCCAGAAACTGCCTCTGAGGCGCTGAGGTTCCATGGTATTGACTCTGGTCCAGGCATTGCTCTCAGCTCCAAACCACAAGGCAACTCATTGAGCCAATTGAGGGGAATTGGATTGGACACTATCTATGCAACTCTTTCCGCGCGAGGTTCATGCGATCTTCTGTGTGAACGCTCTATGCGACAGTGCAACACAGGCTAGTGACCTGAACATAGCTGCACACAGTGTGGCACAATTAGGGGTGGCCTAGGAGTTTTTCTATACGAAACCTTGCTTCACAACTGCCAGCAGTAGAAGCTTTCCACAGCCTGATCAATGATGGTGGACAAAGTTGCTGAGAGGAATTTGATGCGTCGATGTCCTCTTGCTGGCCTTGACTTTTGTCGGCCTTGCGTTGTGCGTAGGTCGGCTGCCCTAAGGGAACTGCTGGCTATCATCACTGTTTCAAGCTTCAGCCGCTTGAGAAGGAAACCAGGGCGTCGGGCACGGGTTGAGCTTCTGCGTGTTTATGGGCACCATAGCTTGAAGTTAAAAGCTTTTTTGCATTGACAAACCACCAAGAAATTACTGCTTTGCTTGTTAGAGCCCAGCAGGTCTGCTGATTCTGATTCTCGGCTCAGCCTGACAATCATTTCAACATGCCTGGACCCAATATCTACCAACAAATTGGCGCCTTGTTCCGTGATTCGGAAACACTTCGACATGGACATGCTGACAACTTGATTTCAGGTTAACACAAGAGATCAATCTGTGCTTGCTCCCGCGCCCCTGCTGGAACCTCGCCATTTGTTCTCAACCCAACCAATCCAATGCAACCTGCTTAGGCATTGTCAAGAGAAATAGATCTTGAGCCTCGTGCCACGTAAGACCCAACCAAGCAGGATCGCCCTTCATGAAACTGATTCTCTCTCTGCTCATTTCTTTTTGGCTTTCAGACTCTCTCTCTGTTTCTCGCTCATTGTGCGGACAATGCTTGTCACTGTCGCCCCATAAGTTGCGGCAAGAAAATGCCCGGTCCGACACGTAGTCTCACCTCTTGCATTTTGTTCGCCTTCCAGCTTTGGAGCGACTCAGATCTGCAGGCCATGACATATCGTTGAATGCCGTGGCATTGCCATTACATGTTCTCCGTCTGACAGCTTTGGTCATCTCAGTTGTCTGTACAAGGAACTATATGCCTGAACGAGTGCTAGCAGTGTCTTCTTCTCGCCTCTTTAGGCGGTGACGCTCGATGACACGCTGCATACCGTCAAGACCGCGCTGCACTTCCTTTCAGAAATTCAGGCTCCAGACAGCACAAACGCAGCATAACGCAGCACTAGCAGCGCTGGCCTTGAAGCTGGGCCCGTAGGACAGCCGGACGAAGGAGTCATAGCTGTTGAACTTCCTGCCGGCAGGGTTTTCCACCGCTGCAAATCATGAGGAGTGCCCCAAATCACCTTCGGCTTCCGGGGTTGACATCGAAAAAGACACCAGGAGTGACAATGACCTAAGTTCAGAGCAATTCCCCTGCTCGGCTCTGCCAAGAACCTGATCACGACCTGGCCTTCTCCCGCAACAGCTCGCGGAAGAATCCCCAGCCTTGCAGCGCATGGCTCAAACGAAGCCAGCTGTTCAAGGCTCCGAGATCACGGCACTTGTTCAAGGGTGTGGGCAAGTTGGAGATGTCACACCAGCAGTAGAAGGTACCCTTCGAAAGCTCATGCAGCTGCAGGGAAAGCAAGACAGAGCAGCGCAATCAGAATCACAAGCTGACCTGAGGCGGATGTTCCACGACGATGCCCATGTCCTGGAGACCAAGTTGGAAAACATGCAATGCCTATCAATCAATCGGCCAGGTCCTGTAATCTTCGGAGTAAGAAATCACGCTTGTGGCTAAAGAGAACCTGTGGCACAAGTCTTCATTACAATCCTGAGGACAGCATAACTACTTGTCAGATCATGGCCTGGAGCATGATAGTCTGCTCAATCACATCCTGCCAGCTCTGCATTTTTTCCCTTAAGATGTGTCTCTCAGAGGTACTCCAAGAAGCGTTTGGAAGCGGAAGAAGACCAGCCGCTTCGCGAGAAAGCTTCAACAATGGTTGCAACTATGCGCACAATTGTTATGACCACATCCTGAATGGTTCTACGTCCAAAATCAAGGAACAATCCTTTTTTTCTCAGCAACTTTTTGCCATACTGTTTTGGCTGGCTTTTGCGGGGTAAGCTCAGCTGCTGGTTTTACTCGGTCTTATGCAGTGGAAATTGACTGGAGGCATGTTCACCACAGTTTCAGGATAATTCACAGCCCAAGCGCGCAGGGAACGCTTCGACTTTTTGCCATTTCGAAATCACGCCTGCTCGTCATTTTTGGCTCCCCACTCTGGCTCATCTTTCGTTCCTTGCATGTTTATATGTCAAACTACTCGCGCGTGCCCAGCTTGTCCCTGGCCTTGCAAAAAGCAAGAGGCTTGCAGGATCAAAGCCAACATCACGTGAAGAATGCCCAGAAACTGCAATTGAAAAGGTAATGCTTCATGAATCATGGTCGCTAGGCCGGTTCGTTTGTCAGAAATAACAATACCGTTTCATGCAGTCCCACCTCCCAACCCAACTGAGAGTCTGTTTTACTCACACAGGAGATTGGCAATCATCGCGGTGGCTAAAACCACCTGGAAACTGTGCGCCATCCTCCCCGGAGGATTTTCACATGCGAGCTCGTCCCTTAAGACGGCACACATGATGCCCCATTTCACTCCAGGGAGGGTGGGTGGGGAAAAAGCTGTGCAGGCTGATGAAGCTTACTTACAGTATGAACGGCATAAGTTACGATTTGAAAAAGTTTTCACCCCTGAGTTTCACCAAGAATCCCCGCTGGAGTGGTCTGAGCGGGACTGCTAGGCCTTTGCGGTTTATTAACTGTGGTTGGGTTTTGCTTAGTCACGTTGTGGAGCGCTGGCACCACTGGTACCAAGCCATCGTGACTACCAAACCATCATGAGCAGTCTCAACTAAGACAGGGGAAAGGGTTTCCATGGGGTGGCCCTTATCATTCCACGGCCTCTAAAGCATTTCAACCTTGTGCTCAGCAAATTCTGAAATATGGCGAGCTTTATGGGACAAGATGATGCTGACTCTTCTTTTAAGACCCTGCATAGCTGTCAGTTGGTAGAGGACGCAGTCAAAATGCGAAGAACCTGTGGCTGCAAGATCTTTTTGAACAGGATCATTCAAGAAAAGAGGAGCACCTCTGAAAACAGCTGAAAATATTGAACTACAGACCAGACCGAAAGGTTGGCCTAAGACTGAACAGCAAAGGCACAATGCTCTCTAACTATATTGGTCCAAGGGAGAGGGCGTAGGGTCAGAGGCTTGAAGGGCATGACCTCCGTAGTGGAGGCAAGGACCCTGTTTTCTGCGAGGTGGGGTTGCGTTACGAACAGTAGGCACGTGGGTTCCATGGCTGCTGCCAGCGGAGCGCAAGCAAGCGCAGACATACTGTTTGAAAGCGTACGAAAAAAAGTGACAAAGCGAACTTTGCTAGCACTTGGCTTGAGGCTCCCCGCAGCGAAATGATCTGCAGCATGAATGACTGTGGGAAGTCTGTAATGCCTCCTAGATTTTCAGAACATGGGTATGGAAGAGGAGATCAGGAGAGGAGGGGAGTACAGACAGCCGCGCATCAACATGTTGCATTTGTTGTATCGCAGGCTGGTTCAGGACTGGCTTTCGGCCAGGAGCGACTCCCATTGCGTGACTCTTGGCATCAACATACTGGAACCATCATACTGTATCATACTCATGCAAGCATCTGTCGCCAACGTAAAAAGAAAAACACGTTCAACTAACGTTGGGTTACTGTGGGGAAAATGTTTTCTGAATTGAAACGTGGAACTGCGGTACAGCTATGATTTTTTTGCAGGAGTGTCTGGACACTTGTCAGGTTCAACTTGTCAACCCTCATCACAAAGGATGACTCCAAACTTCATCATGGAACTTGAGCTACCCTGAACAAGCACAGCGACATCACCAAAAGCATGTCAGAAAACAGTTCAACACATCCTTTGGGTTCACGAGTGGCACGCAGGACCGCTGCGTTGGAAGAGAAGGACCTCCGTCCTGATCAGGATCTGGAGAATCTGTCATGGCATGTAACAGCTGGCTCGCACATCCGATCGTAGAATCTGCTTCGGTGCTCCAGAAATGATCCAGCCGCACCAACGGAGTCAATGAGGGACTTCGGACCCACAATCCAACAAACACGCAGACCTGGCATTCGCCAGCACCTGCAGACACAGCACCGACGAATCTGCACGGGCTGATCTACTAAAGTCATGCTTCGAAACGTGTTGTCAACATATGCAGCTATGCGATGCTTTGTCAGACCGTCGAGAATAATGATTGGATCTCGATTCACATCCTCCACAAACTGTGCCGCAGAAACCTATGCATGGGAGGCAGCATCTCGGCACAATGATCCGGGAATTCTCAGCAAGGCATGTCACATGAACTCACAGCCAGCATCGACAGTTGCGCAAAGCTCGCAAGTCAGGCAGGCAGCCGTGCGCCACGTGGCGTCTGTGGGCGACATCCGTTGCGTGTAGATGTAGCGTGAGTATATCTCATCAAGGACTATAGAGCACTGGGTCTCTCTGGCAATTCGAACCCAATTTTTCAGCCTTGGATTTCACAGCTAAAGCGTGAACGAAAAGGCTACTGGTCCCTGACGGCACCAACAGCTTGCAACAGCTGTTATGGTACATCCAAAACTCCGCCCAATCTGAACTCCACTTATGATAGCGCAACCACAACGCAGAAGTCTTACTTGGCTTTGCATGCTTGAACTTCATAGTAACGGCTAGCACAAACTTTTTCATAGCCTTCAACCCCTTAGCCCAATGCCAGGCAACTCTTCACCCTCCACAAGCTGACCAGTCGGATTGCATGGATTGGAAAGCAAGAGGACAGAAAGGCCGCGTCCAACAATTTCACGACGAAGCTCCTGAAGGCAGTGCAAAAAGCGTGTGTTCTCATCCGCCAGTCCACTTCTTCGTAGGTCACGTACGTCAACCTCATGCTTACTTAGCTAAAGACAAACAAATCCCGTCCTGCAATGTGATGCGGAAGTTGTTCTTGGGATCCAAAGGAATGGGAATGGAGTTGATGGTCTTAAACCTTGCCGAATCGCGCCGGGCAGGACAGGAGCAACGGAGCTGGTCTCAGCCAAGGCCCTGTCTGACTAAGGAGTTCAGCATATGCCGTGTAGTCCTGCAGTAGGCCAGCCATTGAAATTTTGCTTTATTCTGCAAAGGCAATTTCGGCACGAAGCAATCGTGCTAAATCACAGGTATGGGCTCTTGAATGGACAAACTGCATGGGCAGTTCCAGATGCGCATGGGACTTCGCGTGTGGTCCGGAAGAAAGTGACCAAGATTGACGTTATCCATCGCACCTTATATCAAGCCCAGATAGAACATGGCATCCGCACCCCGCGAAACTGAAGCATCTCAATGGAAGCATCGTTCCTGACAGCTGGGGCTCGCACAGCACAATCGGGTCAGCGCAAGACGGCCTCCGCCGACGATAGCGACGTTTTCTGCAGAGTAAAGTGAACTTTTCCCTTTCCGATAGATGTCGTTGTAGAAGCGAGCCACTGCACGGCGCAAAGCCCAGTCTCCATTCACACTGCCATAATGCAGGTTCTCCTCGTTCACTTCCAAGGATTGAAGCTGAAAAGGGCCCAGTTCAGAGGTCAACTTACCCTTCTCAACCAGCTCTGTAAGGCGCTTCCTAACATTTGTGGGCCAATTTTTTGCTTTGGTGGTCTCTGGTGACCCTTGGCCTAGATTCGACCATTCGTGCGCAGTCAATCCAGAATACCCTGCCTTGCTGGCTTCATCCATAACAAATATGACTCCTGTCTTAGGCACTCGACGAAAGCCAGTGAGAAAAATGTCGTCCGAAGCAAGACTGCCCGGTTCATCCGGCACTGGGGTTGAGGCCACCTGGAGGGCCACCTGAAGCTCCTGCTCATCAACAATCGCTTCTGTACCAGGTGCATCGGCTTCAGTAAGTGGTTTGGGCGGTAGTGGGTATCTGCGTCGTACCTGGACTTTCCCATCCAGCTCAGTGACCTCCAACTCCACTATCCGCTGCAAACTTGACACGACTAAATCAAAGTCGTTGGTGATTTGCTGCACCCGATTAAAGCCTGCAATGACATCTGCAGAGATGAAACCGGTTGCGTCCGGGCCCAGCTGGTTTACCAACCACTCATCCTTCCAAAGGTTTTTATCACTGAAATAATATCGCAGCTGCCTTTCCAGCCGTGGATCCGCCATGCCAGCAGGATCCCCACATGCACAATGTGTTAAGACCATAAAACACCTGAGTTGCCATGTACAACTTGAGAAAATAAACCAGAGCCGATGGTAGAAATGTATGGACAAGGCTTCTACCTCAAGAGACCTGGCATGAGAAGAAATGTGGGCTGCTGCAAGACATGCACTGACTCCTTGCTCGACTACATGCAACGGCAACACGAGCGGTACCATAGCATCTTTCTTTTGTCGCGGTGCTGCTGCGCCCTCTCGACGTCAAGCCGCACTCAACAAACGAGAACTCTGAGAGGAAGGGGCCCGCTTACAGTGGCTGCAGGTGACCCAAGCCACAACTGCTGCCAACAGTAAAATGCCCAGGATGATCAAAGCAACTCCCCAGCCTGGAAATCCAGGAGAAGGAGGCCCACCAGGAACGATGCAAGCATCTGCTGACCACACCATTGGAGGTGGGCAAACCATGTCCGGCTGGTTCACAAGATTGAAAGCCACAGTCGGCGCAAAGCATTGATGTTCTGCAGTACATCCAAACTTGAGCAAAGCGTTTTCAAATCGGCTGGCAAATTGCTGCATGTTGATGCTGGCCAGCTGACGCGCGGTATGATTCAAAGACTCGTCTGTGTTGTACTCACTTGCAGCTACAATGCCGATGTCAACACCGTCGGTATTACCAAGCTCAGCGTTAGAGAACGTAAAGTTGACAACGTCAGCCGAGATGTTGGTTTCCTGCTTCAGGGCATCCAAGAAAGCTGGAATGAATGCAGAAGCCAGCCATCCGTCAACCAGCGACAGATTCTTGCCTTCTGCATGATACAGGATCAGAGCAACCCGATCTTTGATCTTGCAAACGTCTTCCAGCTCGAACCCCCGAGGGCAGCGAGTACAGGTTGCAGCCTGGCTCCCTTTGGAAGGACACGCAGTGCAAAACTTGGTCCCGCTCTTCCCAACCGGAAAGCATGGCCGCGAAGGCTGCTTAGGCTTCACTGACTTTTCGCACTCTGCGTCTCCTGAAGGACAGTTGTCAGGGCAGTCGCAAATCAGTTCTTGAGTCTCCGTCCCATTGCCGCAGCTGTCATCACACTGACTCCAATTGCCGAACTTGTGCGTGTTCCAGGGGCACGCATGCCCTCGACAAGTGGACGCATTGTCTGGCCGTAGTCGTTCATCGCAAGGTCCAAAGATATCCTCAAAAGGACACCACACTCGCCTGTGCTGAGTCCCGTTCCCACACAGTGAGTCACACTCGCCCCAGTCATCGTGCTGCCAGACCCGCTTGCACTTTCCCACATAAACACAGCATGCACTGGTCTCAGTTGCAAGACTGCACTCGCCTTGACAATCGGAAGCACATACCGGAAGGGCATCCTGCACATGCACTGAAGTGTTGTCAGGAAAGGATTGCTACAATGCACAGTCGTTCAAACGCCTTGTTCCCCATGTTCAGCTACGTGTTCTTTTTTGACACTGCCCATTACACACTGGCATGCGGAGTAGGAAGAAAAAGCACATATCAGAAATCAACTGGTTTTGCTCAGGTTGAGGCTGGACTTAATCCGCATGGCATTCAACATCGCCGTTGAGCAAGCTTTCGGAGCGCTTGCACAAATGGCTCCACATATGCAACAGACATTATAAAAGCTTCTGCGCTGAGTTGGCTGCACTTCCATCATGAAAAACTGTGCATTGTTGCGAAGAATTTCATTGTGATGCTTGCTGGTCTGATCTTGTGTGAGCATGACTGATGGTTTGTGAATTAGCTCAGCGCATCGACGTGGGCGCACTTTCGGCAGGTTGAAAGCCATGCGTGTGTTGGCAGGAGCCTGGTCTTGTGCTCTCTTGAGCTCCACAACTACAGGGCTCAGCTTTCCAGGTTGGATATGTGCAAACAGGGTACCTCGGCAACCTACATCTTGACAGGAACCGCATTGGAACATCATCTTAGCAATGAACTGCCCATCCAAAACCATCAAACAAGAAGCTTCATGCAGCAAGTCATGCATTGGTGCTGGCCTTGTACTGTGGCGCCTTCTTGTTCAGGAAAAGGTCAACCCTGCATGGAACTTGTGAGGCCGGTCGTGGAGATGGGGGATTGGCAGTCCCAGGCACATAGCAGGCATCACATACTCCTGACCCATCACGGTGACAATATGAGACACCAGCATCAGGCACAGGCTTGTTGCACATCGGTTCATACTTCTCGCAGTGCGGATTTCGATTGTAGTACTGTTGTACAACGCTCCCACCAAAAGCTTCTTCAATCGCCAGTGCGCGGTTAGCATTTCGACTTGCATTGCATCGGCCAGTCCAAAACTGAAGCCCAACTTCGTTCTGCGCAGAACATGACGCGTCTTGGCAAGACGTCACACATCCTGGATAGTCATATTCTCTGCAATACTTGACCCCCAGGTGGGTGAAAGACAAGTTCGCATTGGTGCAGTGCAAGCGAAAATCCTGCCAATCCATACACTTTCTGCCGCCACAATCTTCTTTCTGTATTCCAACAATGCTGTCAAGCTTCAGCGTTGTGTAGTTCTGCACATAATAAGAACAACCAGGCGTGCCATCAGGTATCCCTGATGAGAAGATTCTCTTGCATAGGCCCCCTGCCACATATTGACTCTTGGAAGCAGGAATCAAGCCCTTTTGATATTTTGTGCAGTTGGTGCTTTGCTTCTTCCCATTCGGCATATTCGGGCAAGGGCCGCTCAAGCTGAACCAGTAGAATGTGGAGGCTGTGGGATACCGTACATCTCCGGCAGGGGGATGGTATGACTGAATACCGACCAGGTCACCACCTCAGACTGATTACATGGAGGCTACTCATAGGACGCACGTGAGACTGACTTGAACACGCAATGCTTTCTTCACCTGGTGAAAGTCGCCCATGAGAGCAATTAAGACGTCAGGTGGTACAGGATGTCCACTCAACTTTCAAGCCCTCACTCCTACAATCCCATGCATGATTCCTCAAGGAAGCCTGCGAAACCATTGCGAAACCACTACACAGTGCTTGCAGCGCTGCACGGCACTAGTAACTTTCGCGGTGTGCTGCAGGCCTGGGCATCCCCTGCAGCATATCCATTAGTGAAACTAGACTGCAACTCATTGCCAGTCTATGCCCAGGTAACGAGGGCAAGAGCACCCGGGTTCAGCAAACTCAGGTCTCGTAAGTCTTTGTAAGTTTGCATGTGTGGTTCAAGGAAGCTCTCGCACTTCCTTGGGTAAGCAGTGCACAACCTCTCGGCGTAGTTTCACCGAGAAGGTCATGGGGATGCCAAGGACTGCAGTGCACCACAAAAGTTACCACTTTTTGCCAAAGACAAAGAATTACTAATCCGCCAAGCCGGCTTTTCGAATCGCGCACTCAGTCGGTTTGCTATCCAGTGGGTGGCGCGCGGACAGTGCCACGAGTGCTCAAAGGTGAGTTGTGTCTTCTTTTGAAACCTGGGACTCCGGTGTAACAACTGTGGAGGCTCTCTAGACCGCCCCTAGGCCCTGAACTGGAACTTCCCAAATCCTGCTGACGCATGGTTACAAAATGGCTGCGAATAATTCCATTAGTGATGCTGATGTCAGTTCTCCTGGAGACGAGCCGCTCGGAATGGATGAGCAGACTGAAGCCGACAGGCAGTCGGAATTCACTCAACGGTGTCGAAGAGTTGCGAGAAATCTTATTTCAGACAGCTGCAAGACCTTCATTTGCGCAATGGTGAAAGGAAAAGAAGGGTCTCTGGAAATTGTGGAAGACTCATGCACGCTTTGGCTGACCAATCACTGGAAGTCATCATGCAAAGAATTGAACCTGGTTTGACACTATCCTTGCGCAGAACTGTACGTCGTCAACTTGACTTGCTTGAGAACAATTGGGGCCAGGACCTGCAGCAGACTGATAGGACCTTCTTGCAGAATATGGGGAGTTTGCGGGACCCTGACCGGGACCTCTTGGAGCAGCGAATCACGTTGTTGTTCCAAAGAGGGCAAACACTGGAACTGCATGCAAGGAGCAAGCAGAACTCGCAGAAGGCGAGACGAGGCCGACAGCGTCGTCGCTGTTTCTTTCTACAAGGTGGCAATTCTGATTCCTATTCTGCTTCCTATTCTGCTACATTGCCTGTCCTGGCTTTGAAGTATCAAACAGCCGTGCACTTGCCCTGGTACTAAGTCCAGCCAAGCCGAGATTTCATGCTCTTCCGTACCGAATTTGGATCAGCGCATGTGACATTTGGAGTGGGCAGCGTGCAGGTTGGAGACGTTTCCACAACGTCTCCTGGAGCCGTTTCGGCGAAGCCATGTGGAGTTACCGCATATGATTTTTCAAGGCACGCAGGCAGCAATAAGCAATCTTAAAGCATGCAACTTTACGGAGTAAACTGAGACAGCATTCTCTTTTTCACACGTGGGGATCAGCTCTGCAGCTGGGTCCTGTTCGGCCCTGGTGTACCTGCTGTCCTGAGAGGGGTCAGGACCTGCCTAGGTGGGAACTGTGCACATGCCTGCGTCCACCTGTGGCTTTCGGATCCTGATTCCCCCGATACAACGGTCCACGACTTGTTAGCCCATTTGCCCTCCAAGAGTCCTTCACAAACAGACTGGCAAGCTAGGCATATCTGGACCTGGGAGAAATTGACTTCACTACAAACTACAAGAGCCTTGAAGATGCTCCTTCCACACAGAAGCTTGTCCCTACCCTGTTTCACGATGTGCGTGATACCTGAAGAGGGATTCTTAACCAAGTGATACTCTCCTGACGAGACGAGCATTGCAAACACATGGCTGGCACCCTGAATTACCTGTTCATGTTCCTCAGCGTCACTGCTTGACGACGTTGGGCTGTTAGCTCCTGACGATCCTGAGGATGAACCAGACAGCGCTAGTCTGCCAGACCTAGTGTCGTCTGGGTTGAACTTTTGCATGCGCACTGACCTGATGAGATTCTGTCGGCTCCTGAGGGGTCCTGCCATAGCGTCTCTGCTGTAGCTGAGTGTTGAAGTATTAACCCCCGT